AAAATTTCAGAAAAATCTAAAGAATATATAGGTTGAAGAATGCATTTATTAGATGCTGGACACCCTGCTAATTGCTTTACATTCAATATTTTATTTAATCTTCATAGCAACCTTAGGGATAGGCATTTTCAGTATATCTAAATGAAGAAACCAAGGCCCGGAGGGGTGAAGTGACCTATCCAGAGTCACACCACCAGTAACTGACTAGGTCAGGGCTCAAAGCCAAACCCCATGTCATTAACCACCTTGCAGTATGTCCTCCCCAGAATGCAGCAACAAAATCCAGCATCTTTTGTAGAGTTTGTGTTTTTTTATTATAATTGGGATCTGTTCATACATATAATTTTGAATTGCACTTTTTTTTTCCTGATAGCTTATTTTTTAAACTTTTTCTTTTGGAAGAATTGTAGATTCCCAAGAAGTTGCAAAGATAATAGGGAGAGATCCCTTATGCCCTTCAGTCAGTTTCTGTCAATGGTTACATCTTACCTATCTACAGCCTGATATCTACACCAGGAAACTGACATGGGTGTAAAGCTATGTATAGTCCTTTGCCATTTTACCACCTGTGTAGGTTTGTACTGCAATCACAGTATAGAACTATAACATCACCACAAAGATCTTCCTTGTTCCACCCCCCTCATTATTACACCTGCTCGCCTCTTCCCCAACATCCTCAGCCTCTGGAAACCACTAATCAGTTCTCTCTCTTTATAAGTTTGTCATTTTGAGAACATTGTATAAATGGAATCATCCGTATGGGGCCTTTTGAGATTGGGTTTTTTTAATAAGCATAAATTCTCCTGAGATTTGTGCTTTCTGTTTTTTTTAAAGATTTTATTTATTTATTTGACAGAGACACAGTGAGAGAGGGAACACAAGCAGGGGGAGTGGGAGAGGCAGAAGCAGGCTTCCCGCTGAGCAGGGAGCCCGATGCGGGGCTCGATCCCAGGACCCCGGGATCATGACCTGAGCTGAAGGCAGACGCTTAACGACTGAGCCACCCAGGCGCCCCTGTGCTTTCTATTTTTTAACCTAATTTTATATTCTGAGAATTTTCTCATGTCACTGTTTAAATAAAAAACATAATTTTTAAGCTACATTTAAAAAAATCCCATTGTTTTAACATGTAGGATATGAACTGTGTTTTGCTATTGTAAGCAAAACCATGGTGAGCATCATTATAATCAAATCTTCATCCAAATCTCTGACTTTCCCTTACCCTAGATTCCCAGCAGGGGGGTTGATGGAATTAAGTTAGGATACCCTTGGGGAAAATCACAGAAAACTTTGACTCCAGCTGCTTAAACAATTAAGAGGTTTGTCATTGCACATAATAAGAAAACCCAAGATTGGGCAGCTCAAGGCCTGAGAGAGTTGACTCAACCCAATATCAAGGACCCTGTGTCCTTCTAGCTCTTGTCTCTGCCACCTCAGGATATGACATTGTTTGATACTGACGGCTTACCTGTGGTCTTGGGATGGTAGTCACTCTTTCTAGGCAGTAGTCCAGTAGTCCAGACACAGCAAAAACACGCTGTCTTCTCTGTGTCTCTTTCCTAGAAGCCCTCTGTAGATCTCTCATTAGTCAGAGCCAGTGGATACGCTCTATCACTTAGGAATTCATTATTACTCTGCAAATAATAGACAACTAGCTTACTAGTTAGGGTTTTATTTCCCTAATGTCACAAGAAGTCCATAAGTAAGCAATGTTGGGCTTGTATAGCAGGTCAGATATGTCATCGTAGACTCAGGCTTCTGGTTTGCGGCCCTGCCTCCTTAGCATGTGACTTCCATCCTCAAGATTGCATAATAGTTGCTGTATCTCCAGCCATCACATCTGTATTCCAGTCAGGACAAATGAGAAAAGCAGAGGGGATTTCTCCTAGGATGTTTTTGCCTTTGTGTTCTGGAAGTAATACCTTCCCTAAAGACTACTGCGTGCATATCAGTGACAAGAAAGGAGCCACATGGCTGACACAAGGGAGCCAGGGAGATCAAGTGTTTTAACTGGGTATGTTGCCACCCTGAACAAATCAGGGTTCACTTTGTTAGGAAGAAGGAGCAAGTGGAATTGTACAGGCAATCAGGATTATGCTTGTCAAAGTATAATTTTCAAAATTTAAAAATCTAATTCTCATACAAATAACATAGTGAACATGAGCCAGAATTTTACATAACTCATTAATAAGGAACTAGAAGGATGACAAAGCCGGTGCAAAAGAGGATCTAAGATACTAGTATTTATACTTACATATAATTATGTCAGTGAAAGAAAGGAACATTGAAATAAGATTGTTCGGGTAGATACCCGTGACCTTTGAGGGTATCTTTTCCACCTGACGAAAATCATTTATATTGGATCTGTTTTCCGCAAGTTAATATTTAACTCTAGAGTCTGGATCCTAATCAATAGTAAATAATCAAAACAAGGCCCATCCCCCAGAGAGTGGGATGACCCTAGGCAGGCTCGTTAGATAGCACTTCTCAAAATGAGGTCCCCAGAGCAGCAGCTTCGGCTTCCGTCACCTGGGCACTTGTTAGGAGTACACCTACTGTGTTCCAAGCTCTGACTTACGGACATTGATCCTGCCACGCCTGCTGAATCAGATGCTCTGGGAGTGGTGCTCAGCAATCTGTCACTGCAGTGGATGCTCAAGTCGGAGGGCCACTACTCAAGTACAGCACTGGAGGGACATGATGTCATCTTTTCCTTGTATTTCCCAGCTTGGAGTAATTTTCCTAAATATACCCAGGTCACCCAGCACCTGAGGGAAAGGTAATGGGGCCTTGTGACTGGCTGAGAAGAGAGGGCTGTCTCGTCAAAATAAAACAGAGCTCCAGGAGCAGGGGAGCAGGGGAGCAGTCTGCCTCCCCTCACCTGGTCTGTGGCTTCCCTCAAGGTTTACAAGTGTGTGGTGAAAAGCTGTGCGCAGACGTTCCCAAAGCTCGACACATTTCTGGAGCACATCAAGAGCCACCAGGAGGAGTTGAGCTATCGCTGCCATCTCTGTGGCAAGGACTTCCCCTCGCTCTATGACCTGGGCGTGCACCAGTACTCCCACAGCCTCCTGCCGCAGCAAAGCCCCAAGAAGGACAGCGCTGTCTACAAGTATGTGCCCTCTCCCTGCCCCCTCCCTCTCCCTGCTGGGACCCCAGGGCTCTGCAGCCTTGCTCGTTCTGACTGCTAAGGACCTGGGGGAGAAGGTGCTGGCCCTCCTTATATCATTCTTCAGTTTGGTAGACATTTATCCTAAAAAATAATCGGAAAAAAAAAAGGGAAACCAATATTTTTTCATTCATAGTGGAAAACAGATTTTTTTTCCCTAAACTAAAAATACTATGAAAATACAATTTTGTCTGATGATCTACAAAATTTAGGTTACAGTCAGAATGGTACACCGATTCTTAGAATGAAAACAGAATGAACAAGCACATACTGGAAAGCAAAAATCATAAAAATAAGATTCATTTGTTTTATAATCTATAAAATTCAGGTTAAAGTTGAAGCTATAGACTGATCCTTAGAATGAACAAGGAATGAACCAAGTGTAGATTTTCTTTGGGGTAGTTTTTCCGCCAATCCTTTACAGTGCTTTAGTCTTCCATTGTAGTCATAGAGAGCATCCCTTTGGCAGAAATGAAAAAAGGCTCCCTCAGTTTTGTCACAGGCTTTTAATCCTTGAGTCTTCAAATCGTTCTCATTGAGCTATCAGTCCCGTGACCGATCCTCATTGAGTTTCTCTTACTTGGTTGTTTCCTGGTCCCCCTTCCATACCCTTCTTAGTCGATGGGTTATCTGCAGGTGCCCAGTATCACTTTCATAACTGTGAAATCCCACATTTTTGCCCTGCAGCCATTTTGCTGTGCATTCACCCAAAGTCGTCTGGAGCAGCCGCCTCACAAAGGCTAGGATATAGTGTGTGGGGATAGGTATTAGTGATAAGCAAGGAAGGGTATTTGTCAGGGGACTGCTCCCAGTTCTTAGTATTTTCGTGTTGGAATGGTTTTGCTTCTCTGTACAAACTTGTGTTGGTAGGGATTTCTCTAATAACCTCTGTTAATGAGGCGTAATTCCTGGGTGACGCTTCTGGGCTTCAGAGATAAGTAACAACAGACCCTGAGTTTAGAATGCACAGGCTTTTTAGGGAGACAGGTGTGTAAATACGCTTACACGTACTGTGATAAAATGCTAAGGTATACGTAGATGAAAGGTATACGAGTACCATAGTGGGACGTAGGGCAGGGAAGGTGTCCTTGAAGCAGTGATATCTGAACTGGGTTTTGAAGGATGAATAGGAGTTGGCCAAGTAGGTAGGGTAGAGTGCATTCCTAGCAGAAGGAACAGCAAGTGTAGAGATATAAAATGAAATAGCAAGTGGTTTAGAATGATCACTGTGTAGAGTGGAAGTGGGAGAGGATGTTTAGATGTGGCCTAGAGGAGAAAGTAGGTCCAGGGTAAGGGTAAGAAGGGCCTGTAGAAATCACAAAAGCTTTGAGAAATTGGCAGGGGGACTGGGACTTAAATGGGTGTAGGGCAGCTTGTCCTGGAGGAGGTTGGGAAGTGGAGCCAGAGAGGCAGGAAAACCAGGCAAAACTTTGGCCAGTCAAGGGGTGGAAATTTCTGGTTAGTGATGGATAATTCCCATTTGTAGTCAGGGGGCATTTTATTTTGCTTTTGCCTTATGGATTTGTGGATTATTTGTGAGTTCCTGAGACTATGTGGCTTTCTGGAGTGAGATGCCAAGTAAAAGGAAGGGAGCACCTACTATGTGCCAAGCTCTGACTCAGGGACATTGATCCCTGCAATCCTGGGAGGTAGGTAGTTGTATTAGTCAGCTCCAGCTATAACAAAATGCCACAGACACATGATCTCTT